TGAGTAGCCGGGATTTTAGGCACACATCACCACGGCCGCTAATTTTTTTTGTATTTTTAGTGGAGACGGGGTTTCACTATGTTGGCCAGGCTGGTCTTGAACTCCTGACCTCAAATGATCTGCCTGCCTGGGTCTCCCAAAGTGCTGGGATTACAGGCGTGAGCTACCATGGCTGCCCCATTTTGCAGATTTAGAATTTCTAAGTAACTCAGTATTTCTAAGTAATCTGTCAGAAAGTTAGCATTTCACATCCCCACCTGCAGTGAGTGGATAAATGTGCTTTTTGGCTCATACATTTTCCATAACGAATGGTTCAATGCTATAGCATTAGCCATGTATATTTCTTTTTTTTGTTTTGTTTTGTTTTTGAGATGGAGTTTCATTCTTGTTACCCAGGCTGGAGTGCTATGGCGCGATCTCGTCTCACTGCAACCTCTGCCTCTTCGGTTCAGGCAATTCTCCTGCCTCAGCCTCCTGAGTAGCTGGGATTACAGGCACGCGCCACCATGCCCAGCTAATTTTCTGTATTTTTAGTAGAGACGGGGTTTCACCATGTTGACCAGGATGGTCTCGAACTGTTGACCTTGTGATCCACCCGCCTCGGCTTCCCAAAGGGCTGGGATTACAGGCTTGAGCCACCGTGCCCGGCCATCCATGTATATTTCTTATTTTGTCAGTGGCTTCTTCAAGCTTCTTGTCTAGCTTTCTGTGGGATGATTCTTTATCCTTTATTCAGCATCCAGCAGTGCCCTCGACAAGTGGCTGTGCAGTTATTTGCAAGGCTGTATTGAACCCGGCTGAAATACTTCTCAGGGGAGCTGTCCAGCTACATTCTCTGAGTGAAGGCAAACACAGTCACTTTTCTCTGCTATGTTCATATGTGCCGTGAGTTTTAAAAGACTTTCCCTTCAGTCAGTCGACGACATGTGTTGCTTAGCAAGAAGGTGAAGTTCCACTCATCTAATCAGTCACATCTTGGGGTTTGAAAAAATGGCACAAGAACACTGAAAGATGTGTTAGAAGCAAGTTTTCTGGTTTGGGATTCAGGAGAATTTCTTGGCTGCCAACCAGACCCAACTCTAACAGTGACAGGGGCAGACATGTGGGGGAATGGGGGGAAGATTCTGGGAGTACCACCTGGCTGGATATTTTCCTATGGTTAAAAATAAAGTCACCAGGCATGGTGGCTCACACTTGTAATCCCAGCACTTTGGGAGGCCAAGGCGGGTGGATCACCTGAGGTTGAGAGTTCAAGACCAGCCTGACCAACATGGAGAAACCCTGTCTCTACTAAAATTACAAAATTAGCCGGGTGTGGTGGCACATGACTGTAATCCCAGGTACTCAGGAGGCTGGGGCTCGAGAATCGCTTGAACCTGGGAGGTGGAGGTTGCAGTGAGCCGAGATCGTACCATTGTATTCCAGCCTGGGCAACAAGAGTGAGACTCCATTTCAAAAGAAATAAAAAGTAAAAATAATAAAATAAAGTTGATGTTTTGGAAAGTGGTGAGAAACAGATGGGGGTGAAGGATGAGTACCCCCATTGCTTTGTGGAGGACTCTGAAGTGTTCTCACATCCCAGGGCTCATCAGTGAGTGGAAGAAGGAAGCCAGGTGTCTCTGAGCCAGGCTGGTTCAAGAGCAGCCAGACCACCATGCTATTGGGGAAGCCGCAGAAGAGGCTCTGGCATAAGCACCACTCCTTAGGAAGCCACAGAGTTATTTTTCTTGATGCTCATTGTTTTTAAGGCCCTGGGTGGGTGGAAGAAGATCTTTTGTAACCTATATCTTTGTCACCACTGATTTTTGGGATTTTACATTCTTTTGGCTTATTTTTCCATTGATATAATTGTCGCTTATAGTGTGCAAACTCTGGGAGAATAAATTCTAAGTGAGCTCTTGATGTCAATTAATAGGTTCATTCCAATTTTCTTGGGTTGGACATGTGGATACATAAAAGAAAGTACAGTCTTTGCTTTAAAGCAGTTCGCAGACTAGTGGAGTGGATGCCACTGAACCAGTGATTCCAGTGAAGTGTGAAAGGGGCTAGAGACTGATGTCCACATTGTTCTGGGACCATTTAGAACAGGTGGAAGTGGAGGATGGTGGTACAGGAGGGCTTCCCAGAAAAAATAAACTGAGTTGAGCTTTTGGTGGGTAAAAAAGTGACCAGGGGGACAAGTAGAAAGCATTGTAGGAAGAGGGATGAACAGGGACAGGCTCTCAGGCTTCCGGCAACCAGCTATTCCAAATATTTCTTGAGTTGTGACATGCCAGGCATTGCCTTCCAAGCTGCAGTACAGCGGTGTTCTCTAAATTAGGCTCAGTTGGAATACTTGAATCTCAGAAGTTTACTTTCCTTACCTTGCCCCTTGAAATTCCCAGGCTGGAGGGAATGGGAATGGAATTCTTGGAAAAGGACAGAGTAGATGAAAAAAAAAATCACTTCATGGCGGGGTGTTGTGGCCTGTAATCCCAGCACCTTGGGAGGCTGAGGGTGGCAGAACACGAGGTCAGGAGATCGAGATCATCCTGGCCAACATGGCGAAACTCTGTCTCTACTAAAACTACAACAAATTAGCTGGGTGTGATGGCACATGCCTGTAGTCCCAGCTACTGGGGAGGCTGAGGCAGGAGAATCACTTGAACCCGGGAGGCAGAGGTTGCAGTGAGCTGAGATTGAACCACTGCCCTCCAGCCTGGGTAACAGAGCAAGACTCCATTTCAAAATAAATAAATAAATAGAATAATACAAATTTAAAAATCACTTCTTTTCCTGTTGTGTTGGAAAGTTTCCCAGGAAGAGACTGACAAGCCCAGGAAGATACACATATATCTCACAAATTCCCCTGCAAAATATTTCCTAGCCCCTCAACCTCAATATACAGAAGTTTCCATTATCATAGGCTACAATCTGATGCAGTGTGTGGGCCTACCCTGACCCTAATTTAGACCTCATTACCACTTAGGTTTTCAGGAAAGGGCCTGAAAACGGAAGGAGATAGACTAACAGACATGGTACAGGGACAGTGGGGAGCCACAGCCCTGCCTGAAGGATGGAAGTTGGTTGTTCTGAAAAGGTATACAAATGAATGAGAAGAATAAAAGATGCTTACATTTGCAAAGCTCTTCACCATTTGAGTCGCTTCCTCATCATGGGTGTGGGAAGTAGAAAAGTTCCCTTTTAAAGTTTCCTTTCTTGTTAAATTATAAGTGTGCTAATAACTTTCTTGAGCCCTATCCTATGTAGCTGTTAGACATGCCATGCTTACAGGCATGCACGTAGTACATTCTATGTCCTTGTACTTTAACAAAGATATCTGTGCTGGACGTGCTCACAGGCATATCCCAGCTCTCCATTGCTTCTACCTGTTTAAAAAAGTTTTAAGTTATTAGCCAATCAGGTTTTAGTTCAAATTGTGAGGTCTGGCACCAGCTAATGGAGATGAGAGACAGTAAGGACGACCCCAAATGCGTAAGGGATATATTTGTGTGTTTTCCTTTGTTCATTGTACTCTGGTGGCAAGATGGCTTGTGAGGGTCCCCTTCCTGCAGTCCAGGAAGTAAACATTGCGTTGCTGAAGGATCCTTTGTCTCAGTGTTGATTTTTCTTTATGGCACTGAGCATCTGTTTCTAACAATGGGGAATTATCTCAGCACTTTGGGAGGCTGAAGCAGATGGATCATGAGGTCAGGAGTTTGAGACCAGCCTGGCCAAGATGGTGCAACCCTGTCTCTACTAAAAATACTAACATTAGCCTGGTGTGGTGGCAGGTACCTGTAGTCCCAGCTACTCGGGAGACTGAGGCAGGACAATCTCTTGAACCTGGGAGGCAGAGATTGCAGTGAGCCAAGGTGGTGCCATTGCACTCCAGCCTGGGTGACAGAGCAAGACTCCGTCTCAAAAAAACAAAAGGCATCCAGAATCACCATCATGCCTTCCAGTCCTGCTGAAAAGCAGAAGCAGGTTGTCACTGATATGCCTGGTCTTCCTAAAATGCTGATGCTGCTACCGCATCTACCACCTCCATCACCAACATCTTCATCTCCTCTTCCGCACTTCCCACCACCACATCCCTCTACCACCACCACTGCCACTATTACCACCATTTCCACCTCCACTCTCATCACCACCTTCAATGCCACCATCACCACCACCTCCACGACCATCACCGCCATTACCATTTACTGGACCCTTGTGACATGGTAGACACCATGCTAGAGGCTTTTAAAGGGTTTTGTCTTCAGGATCCTCCTACAGAGTAGAAATTATGAGCCCTGTTTTACAGTGGAGGAAACTAAAGCTCAGATAAGTGAAGAATTTGCTCAAGATGACAGAGTAGGAAGCTGTAGCACTGGGATTTCAACCAGGTTCATCTGCTCTTCCAATAGACACGGAGGAGTGGCTCAGAAAGCTGCGTTGTTGGACACAAGGCATATGTCTTGGGCTTGTTTTATGTATGCCTGGGCCACACTGTTTGGGTCTGAGAGACTCTTGTGGGCTATGACCAGCTCCGACAATCTGTTTTCCCTTGTTTTTGTCTGACTTTTGTTCACACATTCTAGATCATACTGCTTTTCTGGTCAGAACAAATAAAAATGTTTTACGTCCTCCCTTTTCTGAGCTTTGGATGTTACTGTTTGCACACAGTTCTGGAAGCAGATGGAGCCTGATAGAAATCCCAGATGATAACTCAGACTTGAAAGCTCCTTGGAAATGCCCACATAGCATAAATACCCCTGAGCATATGAGAGGCAGTGACAGAGACTGAGAGACAGAGATACAGGGACAGAGAGAGACAGGGAGACAGAGACAGAGAGAGAGAGAGAGAAATAGAGACAGAGACAGAGAGAAATACAGACATAGAGAGACAGAGACAGAGACAGAAAGAGAGACAGAGAGAGACAGAAAGACACAGAGGGGTAAGAAAGATGGAGACAGAGAAAGAGACAGACAGAGAAACAGAAGCAGAGACAAAGAGAGTGCTGCAGAAAACCCACCTTTGCCTGCAACGCCCAGTCCAGCCAGATAGCATCACAAAGGAGTCATCATCCACACCAATGTTCTGATAGATTCTGAGCTACAGGCTTCCAGAATATTAGCAGTTGAGCTCCTCCCCCTTGGGAGGAGACAGAGACAGAGAGAAAGACAGAGATACTGAGGGAGAGGGAGAGAGTGATGTGGAAAGAGAGAGATGGAGATGCCGAGACAGAGAAATAGAGACACAGACACAGAGACAGAGAAATATACAGAGACAGAAAGAGAGAGACACCAAGAGATAGAAATAGAGAGAGAGGGGCGGGGCATGGTGGCTCATGCCTGTAATCCAAGCACTTTGGAGGCCAAGGTGGGCGGATCACCTGAGGTCGGGAGTTCAAGACCAGCCTGACCATCATGGTGAAACCCCATCTTTGAAAAAAAGAAATAGAGAGGACAAGAGGTAGAGGCACACAGAGTGAAAGAGATACAGAATGGAAGAGACAGAGAGAGACCAAGGGGCAGAGAGAGAGAGAGAGAGTGTGTGTGTGCTGATGGTGCTGGTGGCTCTTTGTATTTTGGGATCTAGGGGTGCCAGGGGTACCTTGGCCCTTCTGTGGTCCTTGCTCCTAGTCTCCCTCCTGTCTGCCTCCTGACAGAATCCAGAAGTCTAAGTCATGTACCTCCAAAAGGGTCCCAGTTCATTGCCAGGTGCACAGTGTGAGCTACTGCTCTGTCTAGCTGAGGGAAGAAAGCATCCCCTGAAGCTGTTACCTCGAAAGTCAATTCCCCTTGCATTTAAATGGAAGCTCAGAGCACTGTGCTGAAATCAGCAGCAGTTAAATTGAATTGGCGCTTGATTAGGGTTCTGACCTACCATACATCACCTGGGAAACGGCCTTGTTGTGGCATATTTGGCCGGGCTGGGGAGGAGCTCAGCTGCTAATATTCTGGAATCTTGTAGCTCAGAATCTATCAGAATGCTGGTATGGAGCCCTGCATGTTGACATCCGGCTGAAGTAGGCATTGTAGGCAAAGATGAGTTTTCTTCCGCCCTCGCTCTGAATTTCCCGACAGAACTTCTCTCTCACCTCCGGTTTGCCCCATCTTATTTTAATCTCTTCTTCCCACCCTGCCTAAGCTCTGGGGGTGTCTCTCTCTTCTTGCCATCTGAGAAGGTGGTGGGGGGCATGTGAAGGGCAGAGACTACGTCTTTTATTCCGCCTCCGCCTCTGTCACTGTGGCAGAGGCATTCACTTCTTGGATCCTTATTTACAAATTGAAAATACTGGTAGCCTTCCTATCGGACTTGACGGGTATCTGAAGGACAGCAGGAAGGAATAACAGTGATAAAAGTGCTTCTTAAAGAATAAAGTGCTGTTTGAAGGCCAAGGGTTAGTAGTTCTTTTGTTATTTATTTATTTTTTTTGAGACGGAGTTTCGCTCTTGTTACCCAGGCTGGAGTGCAATGGCGCGATCTTGGCTCACCGCAACCTCCGCCTCCTGGGTTCAGGCAATTCTCCTGCCTCAGCCTCCTGAGTAGCTGGGATTACAGGCACGCGCCACCGTGCCTAGCTAATTTTTTTTTGTATTTTTGGTAGAGACGGGGTTTCACCATGTTAACCAGGATGGTCTTGATCTCTCGTGATCCACCCGCCTCGGCCTCCCAAAGTGCTGGGATTACAGGCTTGAGCCACTGTGCCCGGCCTCTTTTGTTATTATTTGTGGTTGTTTCTTAGAAGCGGAGTGACCAGGCCGGACATGGTGGCTCATGCCTGTAATCCCAGCACTTTGGGAGGCCAAGGCAGGCAAATCACAAGGTCAGGAGTTTGAGACCAGCCTGGCCAATATGGTGAAACCCCATCTCTTCTTAAAAAATACAAAAAATTAGCTGGGATTAGTGGTGAGTGCCTGCAATCCCAGCTACTCGGGGAGGCTGAGGCAGGAGAATCAGTGAACCTGGGAGGCGGAGGTTGCAGTGAGCTGAAATAGAGCCAATGCACTCCACACTCCAGCCTGGACGGCACAGCAAGACTGTCTCAAAAAAAAAAAGAAAAGAAAAGAAAAAATCAAAAAGAAGTGGAGTGACCATCAGCAGCTGGTGGAAAGGATACAAATGGGTCTTTCACATGACCTTCACCTCTATGACCTTGGCCAACTTATGTAGAGCCTGAATGACCCATCAATAAAACTGGGAAATAGACCATTTCCTTGGGCTTATGACCATGAAATGGTAGGTTCAAAGTCAGGATGCAAGGCAGGGTGTACAATAAGATATCATCAAACAGTGAGCCACAGTCAGAGGTGGAGGATGGAGAAAAAGACTCCCTCATTCACAGTGTGGGGGTGAGCATAAGCTTTTCAAAACTATGTTTGACTTTGTATGTCTTTTCTAGATTTTCCATAATGCCAACCTACATTTTCTATAAAGCACCACTTTTGACACTGTGAACCCCAAAATCCGAGACAGGTTTCAGTCAATTTAGGAAGTTTATGTTGCCATCGTTAAGGATGCATACCCGTGACACAACCTCAGGAGGTTCTGATGACAAATAAATAGACAAATGGTTGCATTCTTTTGATTTTCTGATTAGCCTTTCCAAAGGAGGCAATCAGATATGCATTTATCTCAGTGAGCAGAGAAAGGTGACTTTGAGTTCTGTCTGTCATTTGTCCACAAGGAAATTCCTTGTGAGGGAGGCATGGAGCTTTTTAATCTTAGTAGCTATCTTTTTTTAGCAGTAGAATGAGAGGCAGATTTGCCCTAAGCAGTTTCCAGCTTGAGTTTTCCCTTGGGCTAGTGATTTTGGGGTCCCAAGGTTTATTTTCCTTTCACAATGTTTTTGTTTTTTTTTTTTGAGACAGGGTCTTGCTCCTGTCACCCAGGTTCAAGCAATTCCTCGGCCTCAGCCTCCCAAGTAGCTGGGATTACAGGCATGCGCCACCATGCTCGGCTAATTTTTTGTATTTTTAGTAGAGACAGGGTTTCACCATGCTGGTTAAGCTGGTTTCGAACTCCTGACCTCGTGATCGGCCTGGCTCAGCCTCCCAAAGTACTGGGATTACAGGTGTGAGCCACCACCCCTGGCCCTTTCCCAATGTCTAGAGGATTTGATGAAAAATGAAACTTGTATCTGTCACGTCTTTCCCAGTCTCCTGCCCCGCTCCATGGCCACCTTCCCCAGCCCCACCCAGAGCCGCTTGGTGCAGCAGGAGTGGACAGGGACAGTCTCTGGGCCCTGCTGCCCTGCAGTCTATGGAGCCGCCCTGCTGGAGGGGCTGGGCTGGGCAGCCTCTGCTGGTTGGGGATGGTTTGGGAGTTTTACTCCAAGGCCTGCCACAGAAGGGCAGTGGTCATCCTCTCCCACAGCTGGAGACCACATTTACACTGCAGCCCTTGGAAGAGCATGAAATGGACATGACCCTCTGCTGAGTTTCTGCCCTGCGCAAACATCTTTGGGAGAAACACCCATTTAATTTTCCATGAGTCCTGAGAAGAAGATGTTGCTATCAGCCCTTTGATTTTGCATCTGGGGATCCTGAGGCTCAGAGAGGTTAAGCAACTTCTCTATGTGACACAGCTGGTTAGGAACTGAGCTGGGATTTGAACCCAAAGGTCTTCAAAGATGAGATCCTTTGTGCCAGCAGGAGGCTGTCAGGGGAACATTGTGGGAGAGACAGTTAGTAGATTGCACTGGGTTGGGGGCGTTGGGGAAGGCGGGAGTTGAGGAGGGAGAGAGAGGATATGTTTGGGGAGAATAGTTACTCATCCCCCACCTTGATCATGTAACAGCAAGAAAGTGTCCCAAGACCCAAGAAGGAAGTTAGCCTAGACCTATTTTTCAACACAAAATGTAACAATGTGACGTTATTAAGAAACAGAAATTCAGGGTGTAAGGGGCTGGTGGAACAACTCCAGGTTTTGCTTCCTTTCCTGGGCAGCTCTCCTTTTTGGCTTGGGAGTGGCAGGTCATCTGTGAGCACAAGTGACCAGGGCCCTGGAGCTTTCCTCCTGGTTACAGCCTTGCCTATAGGTTAGGGCACTGTGTGATTGGACAGGAAGGAAGTTGGCACTATGAAATGTCCATCTGACCTTTCTGCGGGCTCTGCCACCTCATCCTTCCAACAGCAAGCCAGGGCCGGTGGCAGTACTATTCCCTCCTCCCTCCCCAAGGACGAAAGGTAGGGGAAGCTAAGAAACGATGGCACAGGATTTGACCTCAGGACTATCTGGGCTCACAGTTGCATGATGATTCCATATCACCTTGCTGTCCTAGACAGGATAGGAGCCCCCAGACAGGACACGTGGCCTTTCTGAAGCTAAAATAGTAAAAGGCAAAGGGCGGCCCTTACCCGAAGCACGCAGCCATGAAGGCGCACACAGTTCTCCTCTGGCTCCTCTCCAAGATGGGTTCCCCTCTCCTGCCAGGCCAGGCACGCCGCAGGCATCTGCCTTGGAGTGGGCAGACAGGAAACATACCTGCAGTCCAGGCCTCTCTCACACTCCAGAAATACCATTCACAGACAGGGCAGAGAGAGACAGCATGAGAGGAAGGGAAGAACAGTCACCAGCTGCATGGCAGCATCCTGGGAGGTCGGGTCACAGCCAGAGACGCAAATGGGCCTCAGCTGCAGGTCAGGGTGTGGACACGGAGGCAGCCAGGCCTGTTCTGCTGGGGGAACTGCATTGGGCTGGGCATGGAGAAGGGGTTTGCCGTGTGTGCAGCAGCTTGCAGCAAGCCTGCTGCGGACAGCTGGGGCTGCTGCTTCTAAGCTGAAAGGAAAAGAAGGGCACATCTTTCAGAGCCATCCAGTTCCCCAATCACAGTGCCTGGCTCTGGCCTCCCGCTGAGCCCATCACAAAGCCTCCCGGTTGGGGACATCAGTGACCTGCAACAGAGTAATGGAAGAACATCCTGGCCAGGAGTGATCCAGAGAAGAGACTGACCACAGGGTCCCGGTAAATGCCTGGGAGTGACAGCCTGAGACCCACTGTCTGTTTCCTCTCTGCCTGTTGTAGTTAAAAACTACACTCTTGACTTGCTGATGCTTTGAGCTGCTTGTTGCGGGTGGAGGTGGCTTCCCACGGCTTCTTGTGCAGTGTTGGGCCTGGCTCACTGTCCCCTAGGCAGGGGGAGACTGTTGTGTTCAAGCGGAGTGCTGGGTGCATGCGGAACAGAATAGGGAGCCCCCATTGTGGCAGGAGCTGGGGGCTGTTCGCTGTGTCAGCTCACTCAGCCCTCAGGTCGCCCTCTCCTCAGGTGTGACCTGCCACGTACAGGTGTGGAAATGGAGACCTGCGCTGGGTCCCAGAATGACACTGGGCCATTGGAGGCAGCCGGGAGAGACCTGCCGGGTTCTCTCTGCAGAGACATGTGCTACAGCCCAAAGAGGACACTTTATTCACTTGTCAATTGAGCAGAGGCACTGGTTGCTCCAGTCTCTTGCTGTGCCTTGAAAAGAGAAGAGAGAGAATGTGGGGCAGCCCTGGCTACCCTAGTTCCCCAGGTAAAGTGGTGACCTTTCTGAGACGGGCCATCTCCAAGCATCAGGAAGCGTGGGGAACGGTAGAGAAGAGAAAAATAATAATGCCTGCTGTCCTCAGCATCCAGGCTTGCTGCACAGACAGAGGAGGTGACAAGTGTCATTCTTTCCCGGGGGCTGCAAACCCTGACTCATGTGTCATGTGCTGAATTATGTCTCTGCAAAATACATGCAGTCCTCACCCCCAGTCCCTCGGAATGTGACCATATTTGAAGATAAGATCTTCAAGGAGGCAATTAGGCCAGACTGGGGCCCTTCGAATAGGCCTGGTGACCTTATAAGAAAAGTAGATTAGGCTGGGCGCGGTGGCTCACACCTGTAATCCCAGCACTTCCGGAGGCTGAGGTGGGTTGATCACGAGGTCGAGAGATCAAGACCATCCTGGCCAATGTGGTGAAACCCTGTCTTTACTAAAAATACAAAAATTAGCTGGGTGTGGTGGTGCGCGCCTGTGGTCCCAGCTACTCTGGAGGCTGAGGCAGGAGAATTGCTTGAACCCGGGAGGCAGAGGTTGCAGTGGGCTGAGATTGTGCCATTGCACTCCAGCCTCAAAAAATAATAATTAAAAAGAAAA